TGCACACGTATGTGCAACCCTCAAGGATGAAATTCTCTGAAGCAATACATTCGAAATCTCTGTTGCTCTCTGAGAGTAAGCCCTGTTCTAATGTGCACTCTAAGGACAACTTTGCTACATTTCATCTCTTCACTTCAGATCACCCTTCTAATAAACTTATAAACTCTTGACAGATATATCATTTAAAACTCAGTACCTAAATGTCTTAAGAACTGCTAGAAGATTTGAAATTACATGGTGCTCAAAGTGCCCAGTTTAGGTTTAGTGAAATTCTTGAGCAGGGTGAACTGAAAGGTATTTTTCTATTAATCTCTAAATAAGAAAGGAAGCTGATAAAAACTTTTTAATTATCCGATGTTCAAATTGTTTTTTTTTTAAAGAATGGAGGGGTTGTTCTGTCAGCTACATTTGCATAAAAATAATTACAGCACGATCTAATCATCATTATACAGGTAGGGTGAAGTCAGGACAGGTCTGTCTCAGAAAGTTAAAAAAGGTTCCATGGAGGAGATAAGCATTTAATGAAGATGGAAGGATCCAGAGAATCCCAATGCACTGCTAGCGGGAAAGTGTTGTCTGACTTGAGGATAAGCATCTGGAAATCATTAATGCACAGAACCCTGGTTAGGTGTGTCCCTGATGGGTAAGACTCATGAACAAACAACAAAAAAGAAAGGGGAGCCTGGGAACAGAGACAACACACTCGAAAAATTTTTCAAGTACATCAAAGAGAAGAGGTAGTCAAAGAACCAGGCACTAGAGGCATTAAGGAAAATAAAAGGTCTCTTTTTAAAGTATTTATTCTTTTTTTTAAAAAAGTATATATAATTTTCCTCAAGTTTTTTCACTTCTTGAAGGTAGGAGCTCTATTTTTAAATTTCATGGCATTGCCTTCAATGCCTTACCAGTTAAAGCGAACAATACATTCTCACACTGATTCCGTCTCAAGCACTCTTCGCCCATTATTAATTAACCTAAAATGCTTCTGGTATTTTTGGTCCTATTTCTGTATACATTTTTAATGACCTACAAGTCACATCAAATTTTATAATCGTTACATTCTAACTGTACTGGTTTGGGAATAAATTCCAAAATCTAACTTACTGAAACTTTATTGAAAGAGATCTATGGTACCGAACATAAAACAACAGCATTTTCTTTGGCTATTATCCCTAAGCAACTAATTCTTTACAAAAAAAATCCAGGCCCAATTCCCAAGTTATAGTTAAGAACCTGCTTCGAAAGCACAGGTAAGGAGGGAGCCCCCCCCCTTTTTTTGTCCTGACCACAATTAACCATTAACCGGGTCAACCCGTTTATCAAAGCTTTAATCTTAATAATAGCCACGAACCAACCAGTTCGAGTATATACATTCATGCCAAAGGAAGCCCTTTAAATGCAAACAGATGCTAAGGGTTCGTGGAAAGCTCCAGGTTAGCTGCATTGGCTCCCGGGATTTGATGCCCAGGAGGTCGATTTGCTTTCACCATGGTAACAGTGTCTAACCTCAGCTGAGCCTAGAAAGCGCCCCGCGTTTCCGAGTTCAGCAAGCATCCAATCAGCTGCCCTGGAGGCCCGTCCCTCGCTCCCTCTGCATCCCAGAGCGCCTGCTACCTGCAAGCACCTAGGCACCACACGCCAAGCCCGGCGGCGCCTCTCCCCGCCTCGCGGGGGGTGCGTGGGGGAAACGCTCTACTTCTTGCTCTCGCGGGATCTCGCTTCTGCGAGTAAATCCACTGGATCGCGCGCCCCCATCGAACCCCCGCGGGAATACGGTTCGGCGAGTCCGGAAAGCCGGAAAATCGCGCGCGGGGGCGGGGTCCTCCGGGCAGGGTGCGAAGGCGGGGTTGGCTCCCGGGCGGGGCGGGGCGGGGCGAGGCGAGGGGCGGGGCGAGGGGCGGGGCTGGGCTCCGAGGACCTGTTGAGCGCAGGTGTCGCGGGCCCCGAGCGGCCGCGGGGCGCAGTGGCTAGTGCGCATGCTCCGCGCGCCGGGCCGCGCTCGGGAGCTAGAGGCGCCCGGTGGCCTCCGCGCCAGTTTCCCCGGGCGCCTGCTGGACGGTGGCGGCGGCCAGGAGCTTGTCAGCCCCGTGAGGCGGAGCTGGGCCGGCGGGCAGGCCCGTACGTCGCGACCTGGACGGCGAGGGGCAGGGCCGGCGGTGAGTGCCCGGAGCTGGGGGATTGAGTGGACGCCCCCCGCTGCCCTCCGCCCGGGGAGCCCCGGGCTCTGCACCCCCCGCCGCCCCGCCGCTCCGGGGAAGCCCGGGCACGCCGCGTCCCGGCCGGGGCGGAGGTGCTCGCTCCCTCGGGGCGGCGGTGGGGCGGGCCCGGGGTCCCGGTGGGCTCCCCTCGGGGGGCGCTTTCGGGACGCCGTGCCCGTCACTTCCCCCCAGCCCAGCCAAGCAGCCTTTCCCGCGAAGCTTGGCTGCCGTGGAGCCCGCGGCGGATCCCCGAGGACGCGCTGGGGGGCGGCGGCGGCGGCCGGAGCGAGTTAATGTTTAGCCCGGGCCGGAGCGAGCCGCCGAGCAGGAAGTTACTCGCACAGGTGCGGGGCTCCCGCAGCCCGCTGTCGCCGGCCCGCGGCAGGGGGTCTCTTGTGGCTAAAACATCTGATCGATGCTGACGGTGGGTCCCGCCAGGCTTCCCCTGGCGGCGGATTGTGCCGGAGGTGTCCGGGTCGAGCGGGGGTCGGGAGACCGTAACTGTCAACCCGACTGTGTTATTCCCTGCCCTCCTCCCCATACACACAGAAGATACATTTTTGAAACAAATGTTTCAATAGAGCAGGGGGGGGGGGTCTCCTTCCATCTAGTTTTCTTTTTTCCTTAATCAAATGAGAACATTGCAAGAAACTCTTTAAAGAGTTTGATATGTACTGTGCTTTAAAATCTTCTACATATGATTTGGTGTCAGTTTAGTACATATTTACAATATATATGGGTATACGTATACATACATAATATGCGTGTGTGTGTGTCAAAGAATTTTTCAAAGTCTCTTTTGAGGGATAATAAATTTGGGAAGTTCTTTGTAATTACGTTCTGATTTGCTTTTAATTCTGTTTCACTAAGGGAAGGCATGGCAAATCCCCTTTTAAAAGACGTGGCCAGTGTTGACAGACCATTTTGACTGAAATGGACTTGAGGCTCAGTTGAATCTTGTTTTTATGTTTTTTTCCCTCAATTCCACAATTATGGTCTAGGCAGTGATTCTTTAATTTGTGAAAGACAAACTAAAAAAAAAAAACTTTGTTTTGTAAAATTAAGAAGTGATTTATCTGCTATTAAGAATGCCAAAGAGAAAAAGTCTCCATAGGTGGGAGTATTGTTTTTTTTTAAATGATTACATATTTATTTTCATGTTATAGCTACAAGAAATACGTTGTTTATAGACCAGGAAACTTTTAGACTAAATAATTATTCACAGAAAAAGTACCAAGGTTTTTGTTTATTTTAGAGGCTTTATAAATAAGCTTCTTCGCTGGTTTGTCTACTTTTCATGATTACTGTTGCTAAACTGTTAAGGTTATTTCTTAAATTTGTCAATAAAGTCAGTGGTAGTTTGTTCTATTGTGTAAAAATATACACCGAAACATTCATTTCCTTTTACTTACAAATTAACCCTCCCCCCACACACATACACATACTTTTCAAGTGTGGTAAATTGTATATAATTCCAGAAACCCTGGCAATCAGTTGATGTTATTCCCCCCCCCCCAGAAGATACATATTTGAAACTACTTTCAGTGGGGGGGGGGGAAGGGGGGCTTTTTCCATCCCTTTTTTTCTTTTTCCTTAATAAAATGAGAAAATTACAAAAAATCTTTTTAAGAGTTTAATATGTACTGTGCTTTAAAACCTTTTGTATTATTTGATGTCAATTTAGTATTTGGGGGTTTGGGTTTTTGGGGCATTTGGGGCTGGGGAATCCCACCCATCACCCACCACCCACCACCCGGACTCAAGACCTACACTGGCACTGTGCCAGAGGAGCGCTTGGCTGTGGAACCAGGCTATGTACTCTGCCAGTGGGTCTAGCTCTCTGGTCCTCAAATGTTGTTTGGAAAGTGTGTGGTGTCAAATAATAGAATTTTGGAATCATGGTAGAAGTCTTTTTTTAACAGATGAAATTAGAAAATAAACATTCTGATTTTAGAGTGTGTGTGTGAATTTGGGGGGGGGTGGCGGGATCAAACCTAGGGCCTTGCACATGCACAGTAAGTGGTCCACTTCCTAAGCTGCATCCCTGGCCCAAACATCCTCCATCCAAGGAGGTGTACAGTTTGGGGGGCGGGGGGCGGGTGCTAAGAATTAAACCCAGGGCACCTTACAGCCGAGTTATGTTCTCTGCTGTATACGTGAGAGTGCTTAGCTGTATACGTGACCCGGTGTTTCTAAATGTTCTTTTTAAAAGCCAAAATCAGTTATTTTTCCTCCTGAACTGTTTTGAGATTCGGTTACCATGTGAGAGAAGACTGTTGCTTTACCCTACAATTTTCCAAAAATAAGTCTCTAAGGAGTAGATGAGCTAACCTGTGAAGACATTTTGTTACTAAAATACTTAGCAGGTCTTCTTATTTGACAGCTTTAACTATCAGGTGTTTCTCTATTATAGAATCCAAAGATAACTCACAGAAAGGTAGGGTGTTTTTGTTTTTCTTTTTGGGCCACACCTGGTGGCACTCAGGACTTACTTCTGGTTCTGCACTTAGAAGACTATAAGTGGCACTGCAGAATGGACATGGGGCTGATCCCACCTGCTGTATTATTACTCTGGTCCCGGAAAGGTAGTTTTTATGTTGCATCTGGAACTGTTTTGAGTGCAAAATGTGCTAGGTATGCTCAGTCCAGAACGATTAGGATCAGTGAGAAAGTGTGCAAATTTTTTCATCTTTGGAGATTCACCTGGAAATTAGTATATACACGTTATTATTATTAATTCTAGTGTATCATTAATTCTGTAGTAATGAAATTACTTTAAAAGTTTTTTGCATGCAGAATATGCACATGATGAAATAAGAAATGGTTGCAACCTGTTTTACCACAGATAAAATCTTCAAAGGGGAAGGAGAGATAATGTAGGGGGTAAGGCACTTGCTTTACACGTGGCTGACCCTGGCTTGATCCCAGCACCACATTTTGTCCCCTGAACACCTGCCCAGCCCTTGAGCACAGTGCCAGGTGTGGCTCCCAGACAAAACAAAAATCTTAAAAGGTTATTTCAATTTCATATAAAATCCTTTGTGTAATATATCCTCCCCTATAAAAATAATACATTCCTCTACATAGCCTGGAACATATCGTCTGTAAAACCTACAAAACATCCCTATGGATATCCCATTTAATATTCCATATTGATATCCTATAATATCAATTTAACCTTCATAAAATATATGAATCTTGGCGTGCGGTGCTGGTGATTGTACTTGGGGATCCTGCATGCAAAGTATGTGCTTCACCCTTTGAGTCTTTTCTCTGACCCTTCTCAGGAATTCTAGCTCCAGATTAGAACTGGGGTCTGGTTATAACTGAATTTCAGTACAACTGGTTTACTTTGTGATCTTACAGACTTTTTGCTTATTTTTGTAATTTGCATTTTATGAGTTTTTGCACATTATTTTGAGATGTTCCTCAGGTCACCAGTGGAGTACACACACACAAATGGTATAAATTGGGACTGGAGCAATAGCACAGCGGGTAGGGCATTTGCCTTGCACGCAGCTGACCTGAGTTCGATTCCCAGCATCCCATATGGTCCCCTGAGCACCGCCAGGAATAATTCCTGAGTACAGAGCCAGGAATAACCCCTGTGCATTGCTGAGTGTGACCCCCCAAAAAAAAAAGGTAAAATCATTAAATCTAGTTGAAAAATTTGTTTTACATAAATAACTTGACAGTTGCTCTCTTATATTCATCACTTCACTTAATCACTTAATCCCCGTTATCCATCGATTTATTCAAGCTGGTGCCAGTAACGTCTCCATTCATCCCGGTTGCGTGCTAGCGTAGCCCAATGGTATCTGTTCATTTTAGGAACATGCAGAGCCTCAAACCGATCATTTAGAGTCTTGACGAAGAAGTCTGACCATCTTGTAGGTGGGCGTCCACGTGATCTTTTGATGTCCCGTGGAATCCAATCAGTAATGGCTCTAGTCCAGCGGTTGTCTGTAAACCTCATTACATGTCCAGCCCATCTGATTTTTGATGTCTTGGCAAATGAGACAGCGTCCCTGATTCTTGAGCGTTGACGAAGATCAGAACTCCGGATTCTATCTCTCATTTGAGTGAATCGTGATATTCCAAGCATAGTTCTTTCGATTCCTCTTTGAGATACCCGCATAGCGTTCTCATCCCGTTTTCGTAGGGTCCAGGTCTCTGAGGCATATGTTAATGCAGGAAGAACAGTGGAATCAAAGAGATGTGCTCGTAGCTGGAGGTTCTTTGTCCTTTTAGTTATTTCTTCAATGCTCTTGAAGGCATTCCAAGCCGCTCTCTTCCTCCTGCGCAATTCAGGTGCCAGGTCATTCATCATGTTGATTTCTCGACCTAGGTATATATAACTGTTGCATTCGGAGATGGTGGTTTCGTTGAGAGCGAATGGAGCGTCAGGAACAAGGCTGTTTCTCATAAACATTGTCTTCGTAAGATTCAGCTGTAGTCCGATCTTTCCACATTCATGGTCAAAGTCGTTCAGCATTTGTGCTGCTTGGCTGATGTTTGGTGTTATTAGAACGATGTCATCAGCAAAGCGGAGGTGGTGTAGTTGCCGACCATCTATCTTCACTCCCATGCTTTCCCATTCCATAATTCATAAAAATAAAATGTTAGGTGTATGGAGAGATGGTACAGGGGTTAAGGTGTCTTATGTGCTGCTGACCCCAGTTTAATCTCCTCACCACATAAAGACCTTGAGCAGTGCTGGGAGTGATCCCTGAGCACAGAGCCCTCAAGAAGTAAGGGCACTGCCAGTGTCACTCAGTTCCCTCCCCCAGCTCAGAAAAAATATTAGCAAACTGTCCCAACTGATTGTGGACAAAATGAATTGTCTGAGTTGTTAGATTTTCATTTATTTTATTTTTATTTATTTTTTGCTTTTTGGGTCATACCTGGTGATGCACAGGGGTTACTCCTGGCTCTGCATTCAGGAATTACTCCTGGGGGTGCTCGGGGGACCACATGGGATCCTGTGAATCAAACCTGGGTCGGCTGTGTGCAAGGCAAACGCTCTACTCGCTATGCTATCTCTTCAGCCCTTGTTAGATTTTTAATTTAGAAATAATTACATTGATTCGTTTTTAGTTTCTTTGACAGTTGGAAGTTTTCTTAATCGTCTTTTGGTCCTTGCTTTTCCCGCCCTCTTCCCTCCTCAGTAGTTGTATCCAGCAGTTCTTGGGGTACCACACATGATACCAGAGATGGAACCTGGGCGTCTTACACGCAACATTTCTACTCAGCCTGTTGTCCCCTTTTTGTTCTTTGAGTTAGCAAATTTATTCCATGAACATGTTTTCTTCTTCTTGTTGTTTTCATTCCATGTCCTACGGTGCTTGGGGACCTGAAGTGCCAGGAATGGAGCCTGGCCCCCACCCACATGTCAGGTGTGCTCACTGCATCTCTGAGCCATCTCCCGCCCCCATAAACATTTATTGACCTATTGTATGGTGCACACTGGTGATTAAAAAATTAGTAAGACAGTGTTCAAGTACTAATCAATGAGTCTGTCCTTTCTAAGCTTCATCTTAAACTATTATTCATCTTTTAAACTGTTCCCAGTCCTCAACAAGTGACATCTACTTTTCTTACGCCCTCGCCTTTTCAGGATGCCAGGATGCTGCTTCACCTCTCTCCCAGTCCCCTGTCTGCTTTTTTTTTTTTTTTTGGCTTTTTGGGTCATATCCGGTGACGCTTAAAGGTTACTCAGGAATTATTCCTGGCAATGCTTAGGGGACCATATTGAAATGCCGGGGATCAAACCTTACTGGCTGTGCTATCGCCCTGGTCCCTCCCCTGTCTATTTTCCCTACACCACATTTGTGAAATGCCTACTGACCCAGGACAGTAGATTACTTCCACCGTACTTTGTGCTCCCCCCCATTTTTTTTTGGGGGGGGGAGATGAGGGTAGAGAACAGTACCCAGTAGGGGCTGCTCCAGGCTTGATGCTCCAGGAACCACGTAGTGCCAGGATCCAACCTGAGAGCCCCTCACTTGCAAAGCGTGGACTTCAGCCCTTCAAGCCATCTCCCCCACTCTGTGTACCCCTTAAAGATGATTCGGGACGGAAGCTGATGCTTTGTACTGCCTCTAATCGTCAAGAAGCATGTTGTGCAAATAGCAGGAGGACGGGGAGCTAAGCTGGAAGACGTCTCCGGAGTATCTCAACACACAGCGAACAGGGTTCCCGGGAGAGCCTTAGTTATTTGGCAACTGGATTATTTTTCCGGACTTCTGTGAGTTAGCTGTTAGGAAGGAAGTTTCTAGTTAGTTTACTGAAGTCGTTTGTAATAGATTGAAGTTTTTGTTGATAAAATCTTCTCTGTCATTCACATTGTTATTTAGAATTGCCACCCCCCAGTTGCTGTGATGATGAGGAGCAGCACACTCATTGCTCCCCCTGGGTTGTGGCTGCAACTCAGATGTTGGAGCCTCCAGCCCTGGGGCTTGCGGGCTGCACCCCGGGCTCTGTCTTTTTTCCAGAGGCATTGGTTGCCTTCCAACATTCGCACTTAATGTCTCTTTGACTCCAAATGGTTTCTAAATGAATGTTTCAAATTATACTGTGGTGATTCACTTGTAAAGCCGTCTCAAACTTTTCTGTTTTTTTGTAAATTAGAATTTTTCTTGTTAAGTTCTCTTAGCATGCGATTGATGACTCTAAATGAGATTGTTTTTCTGTAGAGAAAATGACCTAGGAATCTATTTAGAATTGAGAAATTAAACTTATGGTCCAGTGAAATAACTCGAAGGCCTGGAGCACATGCTTTGCACTCTAGACGGAATCCCAGCTTGTTATAGTTTCCCAGGTACTACCTGGTGTGGGCCAAGCCTCCCCAAGGAACTTTCACTTGTTGTATAATTTATATGATTCTTTTCACTTTAACTGAAGCTATGTGTAGTCAATAGAAAAAAAAATTTTAAAAAAGCAAAATTAGATTTATAATTATTTATAATACAGCTTTTCCTTTTCTTTTTCATTTTTCCCCTACCTTTAGAGTACTGGCCTTGCGTATGAGCTTGGCATCAGACCTAGAACTCTATTGGTGAACTATGGCCTGGCCCCAGACTTTTACTTTTTGTTCAAGTACTAATATTACTAAAAATTAAAGTTAAAAATTCACATAAAAATAGTGAATAGTTATCTTTATAATCAACTTATATGCATTGAAAGCCCACTATTTTTTAGATATTTTGTGTGTGATTTATTAATCTCGTAATCCTATGACCTTTAAATTGTATATTGATTATAGGTGATGATAACTTTAGCTTCCCCCCCACCCCCAACCTTTTTGTCTTTGGACCACCCCAGTGGTACTCAGGACTTACTCCTAGCTCTGCACTCAGACATCACTCTTGGATGGGCTGTGGGACCATCCTGGATACCATGGCTTGAACTCAAGTCAACTCAAGTGTGCGAGGCAGGCACCCTACCTGCCATATTATTCCTTCAGTCCCAGCTTTTAAATTTTGTTATGGAGGAGGCAGGGTTCCAAGCAACCAGCTCTTTTAGAGGATAGAAACTTTCAACAGCTTTCCCCCTTTACAACCCCCCCCCCCCTTCCCCAACCCTACTCACCTCTGTAAAGGTTCAGCTAATCACTAATGGATAATGATTTAATTAGCCATACCCATCTGAAGAAAAAAAATTGGCTGAAGGGATTCAGAAAGATTTTGGGTTGGCAGACATTTTGGGGGGTGAGGGAAGGTTGCCAGGAGGTTGACCCCATACTTGTAAGTGTTTCTAAGGGTTGTGTACTTTTAACTGTAACCTTAAATCCAGTCAACAAACTCTTTCCTGGTTTCTGTGAGCCATGCTATCTAATCAAGTGTGAGGAGGAGGTCATAGGAGCTCTTAATTTATGGGTGGTT